AAAGGAGAAAAAAAAACACCCCAGCATAAAGAATTTAGGCATGCAGCTCAAGCCTTCAAAATCAATGACCTAAGCTTTCACTATGAGAAGCTGGGGAGGGCAAATTAATCAAAAGGCACACAGGAGGAGGAAATAGATAAAAGGGTCATAAGGGAATAACTTTGTGCCAATTAATTTGATGACATAGATAAAACAGACAAATTCCTTGAAAGATATGAATTACTAAAACTGACACACGTAAAAAGATGAGTGGTTTTATATGAATTAATAAAAAGGAATTCATAATTCAAAAGCATCCCATAAAGAAAACTCTAGAGCAGATCGAATAGGAGTAAGAACAGGAAGCTAAGTCAGAAAGCATGCAGGCCTGGACTGAATTCAAACCAAATGTATAACAAACATGGCTCTGCGATCAGTGGACGGCTGAAAACCAGTTCTCTCGGTAATATACTGGTCTTGGTCTCGTCAGGGTGTCTTCAAAAACAAGGTCCAATCAAAAAAGTGGCGGCTTCCAGAGGGATCTGCTCAAAAGGTTATAGCCAAAGACTTTTGGGATTCCCAAGGGATCATCTGGACAGATTTTCTTGAACGACACAGGACAATCATGGAGGCTTATTAAGAAGTTTTAAGAAAACTGCACTGTTGAGAAAAAGGCCAGGAAAGTTGTGTCAAGGAACTGTTTTCCACCACACCAATGTGCCCATTCATTCTTCAAGGGTAGCAAGGATCTTCCTGGCTACCCTCAAAGATGGAGAGTTTCATTGGGAAACCTGATCTTGTCCCTTCAGACTTCTTTTTGGTTCCCAAACTCAAGGAACATTTAAAAAAAGAAACCTGATTCCAGTCCATTGAGAATGCCAAAACGGCCATTCTGATCCGGTGTAAGTCTTCAGGTAAGGATTAGAGGTGGACACAGCACCTTGGACTAGACTAAGAAACAAAAGCTTCACCGTTGGCTAGTTTTATGTAATAATGAAAGTTTCTATGATTCTGTAGCCATACTTTTTGATAAATCAGAGTCTCATATGACTCTGAAATGAAAAACAGACGAAGAGATCACCACAAATAAAACTACAGCCCTAAATCCCTTATGAGAATAGACCCCCCAAAAAAACCAAATTAAACATTACTAAGTAATATGCCATGATCAAGTAGCCTTTATCCCAAAAACGCAGGGCTGGTTTAACATAAAATCAGTTAGTGTAATTTACCATACAAACAGAATAATAAAAGGCAATCTATTATCTCAATAGATACAAAGAAGCACATCTCACACAATTTAAAACCAATTCACAATTTAAAGGAAAAAAAAAAAACAACTCAGCAACTGAGGACTAGAAGGAAGCTTTCTCAACCTGACAAATGGTTTCTAGGCAAACCCATAACCAACATCATTGTTAATGTTGAACGAGGCACGTGCACCCGCTCTCAGCATTTCAACAGCACTGAGCAGCCACTGAGCGCAAACATCAAAAACGAGTGAGAAAAGCTGCTTCCGTTAAGGCAACATGACCAGACACATTTTTTTTTTTAAGTAACAGATCTGCCCCCAAAATTATTAAAACTAGTAAGGGAATTTGGTGTCCTGGTACGACACTGCAGGATAAGCACTGGATTGCTACCGGTAAGGTTGGCAGTTCAAACCCACCAACTCACTCCTTGCAAACCCTATACAAGGCTGCTATGAGTCGGAACCAACCCAATGACAATTCACAACAACAAAAAGGACTTTAGTAGTCTCAACAAAGCAAGTCAATTAAAACATGGATTGTCCACATGCTGGCTGGGTCAGTCAGTACCGACATATAGCGACCCTGCATGGGTAAAGCTTCACGGGAGCACCTGGTGGACTTGAACCGCTAACCTCGCGGTTAACAGCACACCATGGAACCCACTACACCCAGGGCTCCTTGTACATACATATGCTATTGGGTTCTATGTTTTATATCATTTACAATAGCAGCAAAAATCAAATACTTAGGGATACATTTAAGAAAATTTGTCCCAGACCAACACATGAAAACGACAAAACACTGAGGAGAAAAACTGAAGCGAACCTAAACAAATGAAGAGATGCACCCTGTTCATAATGGGACACGACTAGAAGATGTCACTTCTTCCCAAACTAAGAGATTCCATCAAAATTCCAGCAAGCATTCTTGTAGAAATTCACTAGCAGATTTTAAAACTTAGATGAAAAACGTAAACCCTGCAATCGTCAAAATAATTTTGAATAAGAACAAGGTTCAAGAACTAATGTGGCCCAATTTCAAGATGCAACCTAACTGTCCTAAACAAGACCACAAGAAAGTGGTATCAGAGCAAACAGATCACACACACAGATCCCCACATATACATTCAATCAATACTTGACGCAGATACCAAGATAACCCAATGGATAAAATCATCTTTTCAGCAAATTATTATTCTGAAGCAACTGAAGATGCATATGGAAAACCACACCTTGCCACTGGACACCTGTCACACACAAGATTCAGTTCAAATAGGTGTAGGCCTACATGCAGGTACGCAGGTACACAAATGGTACAATCTCATGCATTCCTAGGAGAAAACTCTCTGTGACCTTAGGTAGACCAAGATTTCATTGATGGGAAACTACACAGGAAGCACAAAAATTAAAATCAATCAAATGGGCTTTGTCACCTCAAACAATGTCTTAAGTCGGGTCTTGGGACTCCGCTGTTCACGGCTGTGTTCATTTCTGATGGCAGCCTTAACCAAGTACCACACACACGGTGGCTGAAAACCACAGAACCCTGTCACACTCTGGAGGCCAGAAGACTGAAATCAAGGTGCTGCATGGGTTGGCTCCTTCTGGAAGTTCTGTGAGAAGTTGCTAGCCCTACACAAGCACCTTGCTGCTGAGCTCCCTCTCCAGCTCCACCCCCACCCCCCCCATTCTCTAGGAATTCCCTTAGCCTCTTTCCCTGGTGACCTCCCCTCCATCACTTGCCTTTGACGGGATTGCCCCCCACTCCACTGCATGCCAGCCCTAGTAAATCATCTGTGGTGCACCACTGCCACCTTGTGGTCTTGTCCTTGTATTTGCTCAGCCCCAGACTCCCCTGAACTCACTGTACCTCGGGAGATGGAAGTGGTTTTGTTTCTCAAACCCATTTGCGTAACACTGGCTATGTGCCAGCCATGCCTCAGAGAGGCCTACTGTGGACCACTAAAGGTAGATGTCCCCAGTTCAGCGATGGGGACATCATTGTTCCACCACGGAACAATGACAGAGCCTTCCTGTAGGGCTTCCCACTGCGATCTCTGCAATTCGGGCAAAGCTATGGTGGAAGGACCCATTAGCAGCCTTTCCATTGCTACCTAGTCCTCAGGGCAAAACCACGGTGGCACAGGCCAGCCCGGCCTTTTGGCTGCTCTAAACAATGGTGTGGTGAGCCCGTCCACAGCGCGTCTCCATGGGTCTCGGACCTCTGTCAAGGTTTAGAGCCCTAACGACAGTACTCTTGCTTCAGGCGGTCGGCAGCCTCCTGTCCCCTGTCCCTTGTTGTGCTGTGTTGCTGTTTTACAGTCCTCTTTGTTTACTGTGGATTTGTACTGTTTGAGCTTCTGGTGAGGTTGCAAGGCTTTCTTGGGCTTACTTTCAGGCTTCTCTTAGGCAGCGAACAGCAGGGAGACACCACTGGTAAGTGGGGTGCGTGCAAGCTCCAGGTGGGATGTGCCTGGTCATGAACATCAGGGGTCACAGCTGGAAAAGCAGGCATGCTGGGCCCCCCTCGGGAGGAATCCGCCCAGTTGTGCTGGAAATCCAGTGGAGGAAGAAGCCCAATCCCTCCTCCCCAACACACGGTATGTGTGGCTTGAAACCGTTCACGTAGCTCAGCCACCGTGCAAGAGGAGTGGGTGGCAGAGGCCTCTGGAACGAGCAGTGTGGGTCTGGCCACTTGGGGCTGCTGTAAGGCATCACAAACTTCCAGAACACGGGGAGGGGAGGCAGCTGCCCCTGTTCACAGCGCTCCGAAAGAAGGCCACACTTAGACACCAGAACAAAAGAGGGAGACATCTACCTGTCTAAAGTGTCCTTCCATCACACCTTGAGGTGGTTAACAAGCCAAAACCCGAAGCAATGAAAGAAATGGCTCATCAATGGGCTGACATCAAAAGTGGCAAAATCCACCCGGGAAAATAGACATGACAAACAAAGGGTAATCCCACTAAGGAACAACCAGCTCCTAAAGACAAAGAAGCAAAACAGACTAGCAACCTGCTAGAACAATGGATAGAAGACAGGGACAGGCAGCTTCAACCTCCCGAAAGGATGGTCGACCTCAGTAACTAGACAGCAGCCTAACGGATGGCAAAACCTCAGAGGTCTGAACACCCGTCTTGGCAGACTGGGGGAATAGGTCCTCACCCGCTCAGTGCTGCTGGGGAAAGCACACTGCCCAATGCCCCCAGCCCGAAACACCTGATGCCAATAGCCCTGCCCTCAAGAGGCCACCCCAAAGCGACACGTGCCTGTGGCACAAGATTTTAATGATGACAAGAGGACTGGAAACAGTCTCATTGGCCACAGAACAGGCTGACTAACTACCAGGGGCTTCAAAACTCTCGTGGGAAACTTCTATTATCCTTTAAGCCCATTTTCCACAGTTTGTGAAGCCCCCCAGTACACTGTGGTTGAGCCACAAGATAGAAGAACAGGTGGAACCCATGAGAATGAGGATGGCGGGAGAGCCCCTGGCGGGCAAGGCGCCGAGGCAGCTCTCCCGAATCGCCCCGGGGCCCAGTTCTTGACTTCCCTGGGTGGGAGCGGAGGAAGAGGGGGTTAACCCCCAGCAGTAAGCAGGGATGATGGAACACAAAGAGCAGGGCCCGTGCTGCCGTAAAGGGGGAGGAAGCAGCAATCCCCAGAGAGCGGAAGCAAAAGCTAGGTTCTTGAGGCTCGAAGCAGCAGCCCACTCTCTGGACCAGGCAGCTGCGAGAGGAAAGCACAGGTAGTCCTGTGCTTGCTAGCTCTATTCAATGCACTCCATGACGTGTATCTGCAGGGTGTCGATATCCGGAGCTTGATACTGGCACTTGGGACAACAGAAATCGGGCGGCTCCTCGGGGGGGTAAAAGGGGTGATGAGCTGGGAAAAAAAACAAGCATCCGTTGATGGAGGGGACCTGTACCTGCTGAGGGGGTAGGGGAGGAGGGGAGACTACAGCGGAAGAGAAGAGAAAGGAAAGGGGGGGGAGAAGGACGAATTTGGGACCCCCCTATTCAACTGCTGTTGTTGTTGTTAAATGCCATAAGTCAGTTCTGACTCATAGGGACCCTGTATGGAGTTTCCGAGGAGCAGCTGGTGGGTCAGAACTGCCAACCTTGTAGCACTGGTGTGGTGCTATAGGTTAAAGCATTGGACCGCAAGGTCAGTATGAACCACAAGGTCTGCAGTTCAAACTCACCAGCTGCTCCCTGGAAAAACCCTATACAGGGTCGCTATGAGTCAGAACCAACTTACCAACACTTAACAACGTTCAATTACTGCCCAGTCCGCTGCCCTCAGCCAGGAGCCCACTGCCCTCCCACCTGGAGCCCCAACAGCAGAGGTGACCAGCCAGGTCACCACCCATCACTCACATGAGGCGGAGAGCATAAGCGGCTGGGGGCCCTCGACGTGCCGCTTCCGCATGTCCTCAATCTGAGCCCTTCGGGAAGAGAAACCCTCCCCATCAGCACACATGCCCACTAGGTTAGGACTGACAGACTTCAGGGGTGGGGGGAGCCAATCTAACCTAGAGAGCAAAGAGGACTCAGTCTCCCCAAGTGGCTACGGGAGGGCCCCAAAGTGCGCTCCCACCTCCTGCTGGTGCCCCAGGGCCCACCTGGTGGCCTCCTGCGAGCTGGCCTTCAGCCTGCTGTAGGCCTTCTGCAGCTGCTCCATTTGCTCCTGCAGCGTCTCCTTCTTCTCGGCCAGCTGCTCCCGAGCATGCCTCTCAGCCAGGAAGTCCGCCTTGTAGATCTCCGCCTGGGAAGCCCAGCAGAGAGGAGCTGCCGGCAGGCCCGCCCGCCCGCCAAGCCCTCCCCACAGCAGACCCACGGAGGGCTCCAGGACCAGGGCAGCTGACCAAAGGCCACCGCAAGGGGTGACAAACCAAGGAGAGAAAGCTAAGGCCCAGAGGCCCAAGTTGACCGGCGGGAGGAGGGGCACACTGACTGTAGTTACCGATGATGAAAACCTTGCGCCAATTTCCCCACATGGTGAACACACGGCAGTTCAGTATCAAAACAATCAAAATGGGGGAGGGGGGGCAACAGCTACACACACCAAAAAAGACAGCTACAATCATGTCACATGACAGGAGACTTCCCACGCACTTTTCGGAGCCCCCTCCTACATATCAATTGTTCAAAGAGAGAAGTGCCAAGAGCCAGGGCTAGAGTGGCCCCGGGCTGCCAGCCCCTCCCGTCCAGGGCAACGCAGCGGAGCGCTCTCACCTGGGCCCGGAGCACAGGGACTGTCTCCATCACTGTCTTGTGCTGCTCAGCCTCCTCCTTGAGCTTGTCGATCAGCTCCTGCTTAGCCACCAAGGCTTCCTCGGCCTGCTGTAGCTGCTGCTTCACATCCTCCAGCTGGATGCCCTAGGGAGGTGCCAGGGAAATGTGAGCAGGAGAGAAGGCTGTACCCGCCAAGGACCCAAGGGCAGAGCAGAAGGTGAGATCTTCCCGCACACTTACTAGAACCTCGGAGTCACCGAGCACAAGCCGCCTCAGGCAGACCTTCTAAGAGAGGGGCCAGACTAGCTACCACCTCAGGCCACCCATTTAGAGGCAATGTCTTGGACCCCTGCCTCCCAGGTGCCTGCCAGTGAGTGGGCCGCCCGCTTTCTTCGCAAGTCTTCTCTGTGGAGACCAACGGGCTCATTTTGTAGCTTCCTCACATGATCTGCTTCCAGGCTGGCTCCTCCTAAGTCGCTTCTAAGGCTCATCTAATCGGACCCAGACCAAAAGCAGTGCCACCAAGTGGATTCCCTTTTACATGGGGTCTCCCAGCCTATCAACGTGTACGGAGGGGATGGCCACATCTTTCTCTTGTCTGTGAGCCCTAGCGGCAAGTCTAGGAGAGGTCAGAGCTGGACAAATGAGACCGGGGCTTCCCTCGGGCTGATGGGAGGACAAGCTAGAGCATCTACTGTCGTACGGCAAGGTCCTCCCTAGGTCAGAGCTGCAATAGTCCAGACAAAACTCGACGATTAGTCAAGCAGTCCTCCCAAAAACCAATTCTCTTGAGTCTGAAACTCGGGTCTTGTACACCGATTTCCTAGAATTGGGGGGATGAGGTCCCGCTCTACTCTCCTTCCCCAGGACAGCTAAGAGAGGGCCGAGGGCAAGGTTCAGCCCCAGACAGGCCTGCGCACCCGTACTCACTCGGTTTCGCTCACTGCTGGCCATGCTGTTCTTGATGTGACTGTCATAGTCTTGGAAGAGCTGGTGAAAAGCCCCCTGTAACTGGGCCAGCTTCCGCCTGTGAGTTGATTGAGACAAAGCCCAGCCTCTTTGTGGCCCCACCTCACCGTCTCCTGTGGCACGAAGCTACCAGGAGCACCAGTACCCTGAACGCCATCAATTTGAGACAAAGCTGCTGACTGCAAGAATCGTTTGCGAAATGGTATTTTTTTTCTCAAGAAAGCTGACACTTTTAAAAGGAGAAAAACAAAGATTTATAATGAAACAGAACTGTTCTACACTCTTCAGAAAGGCCAAGTACGTAAAAACAAAGAAATGCACGTAGTCGGTTCTAGCTTCATGGAAACTGCCAAGGCGTACCAACTATACCAGTGTGTGAACCTTGATAGGATCCAATGAAAAAAAAATAAGGCGAAAAAACACGTTTGGGACCAGTGGTGAAAGCTGAAGGAAGGTCCACTGTGCATACCATAGGCCACATAACCCTAACCCTACACCCTGCAGTGGTGAGTGGTGACTGGGGTCTTGAACAGCCATCTAAGGGACAATAGCAGAGGAAAGGAGAGTGATGAGAACCGAAGAGACTTGTGGGTTAACAGACCACATGAACATCAGTCCCCACAAGTCTGAGCCCAGAAGAATAGATGGGGCGTGGCTATCACTACCAACTGCTCGCAAAGACTCTGGGTACAGTTCAGAAGAAAATGAAGAAAACTCAGTCAGAAAAAAAGACTGGGCTTACTGGTCAGAAAGAGACTAGAGGAACCCGAGACTATGGCCCAAGCGTAGCCCACTACACTCCCAGGCCCCTTTACAGCATGACTCTGGGTGGGCTCAGGAAGAGGACAGACGTTTTGTGATTTTTGGCAATGGTGAACCCTGTCACCGTACCTCTTCAAATTAGAAAATGTACATTTTCAAAGATTCCAGGGAAAACCTAGCAAATATGATCCATGTGAGGCTGGGACGGGAGGCAAGCAGCTGCATATCTCTTTAGGATCTACAAAGTAAACTCCCCTCCAACACAGCCTGGGGAGGCCTCTTCCCAAGACCAGCTTTCCTGCCTGTGACCTCTATCCTTTCCTGCAAGGTTAAGGGATCAAATCAGACTCTGAGCCACGGGAGGGAGCAAACAGCCTAAGCCTTTCTGATCTCCCTGCGTCCTGCCCCCGCTCGTGGTACGCCACTCACTTCTCCTCGGAGGCGGCCTGGCGCTCCATGCGCAGCGCGGTCTCCATGCTCTGGCTCTGCATGCGCAGCTGGTCCACCTGCACACTGTGCTGTTGCTGCAGCGCTTCCCGCTCACTCTCCAGCTGCCTGGCCTGCTCGCTGGCTGTCCGGGCCCTGTCAAGGTGGACTGGGGTCACAGCGGGCACCCAGCAGGCCTGGGCAAACCACCGGGCTTGCTCTAGATGTGGTCGTGCGTGCCACCAGCAACAACACGGGCGCCGAGGCGCTCCCGAGCTTCCCTGGGCAGACAGACGAGGAAGGGAGCCAGCGGCCTGAGGCAGTCTGTGGGGTACCTCGACGATGCACCTATCCACCTGGCCGGCCGGGTGGCTCCTGTCACAGATCCTTTCACCGGCATCAACCACTGGCTGTGGGTGTGGCCTCAAGGACCCTCGAAATGCAGGAAATGACTAGAGCATCAGCGGGGACAGTGACTCCGAGTCATTCTGCCCCCTCCCAGACGAAGCCGTGGAAGATCGAGATCGTGCAGCGTGGTGGATCGCTCACGTGTTCACACTGACAGCAACCCCCCTGTTTAGAGTTTCCGAGGAGCAGCTGGTGGCCTAGAACGGCCGACCTTGCAGTTAGCAGTCCAGTGCTTATCCTACAGTGCCACACCAGGGCTCTTAAATGACTTACTGCACTTTTTTGTTTCTTTTTTAAGTGCTGTTAAGTCTGTTCCAACTCACAGCAATCCTGTCCAGGCGTTCCTAAGAGCAGTTGGTGGGAAGAACTCCATCGAGGTTCATGTGGTCCTCCAAGACGGAGAGCTTGTTAATAGAGCCAACTAGGTGCCTTGCACCTCTGCGCTGGCGGGGCCATATAACCAAGGTGTCGGAAAACCTGACAACATGCTTACAGGAGAGCCATTCCAGAAGCACTGGGCTGGTGAGCGACGGCAAGGAGCCGCGGCCAATAAGACCAGGAGCCCTCCAGGCAGAGCGGCTGCCTCAAGGCACTTGCCTTCGGCCCTTCAGGTATGGCTTACTGACAGAGCGGGATACCTCTGGGGACTTAGCAACAGGTCCAGAGCCTGAATTGTCACCTGGAGTCCTGGTGTGACGTTGTGGTTTGAATTGTAAGGTCAGTGGTTCAAGCTCGCCAGTTGCTCCTTGGAAACCTTATGCAGGGTCACTGTGAGTCGGAATCTAATAGGAAGTTTTGGCGCTGCAGACTCGGAGCTGGACTGCTAATAGCAAGGTCAGCAGTTCAAACCCCCAGCCGATCCTCAGAAACCCTATACAGGGTCGCTATGAGTCGGAATCAACTTGACAGCACTTAACAACGTTTCCAGAACACACCGCACGACATATGTCTTATAAGTTGTGGGTAGCCACTACAATGAGCTATCACACCCAGGAGAGAGGTTACCAGGAGCCCAGGAGGGACAGCTGCCGTGGAAACGAATCAAACTGTTGGGGAATGGACACATGTCCTCACAGGAATCGGCCCCCTTGTGAACTCATGCCTTCTTGGGAGCACCAAGAAGTCTGCAGGGTAGGCTGTCCCTGCCCGCTCACCTGCCCTCCAGAGCCTGTCGCTCTTTGTTGGCGGCCTCCAAGCGGCTCTGACTCTCCTGCAGTTCCCCTAGCAGGGACGTCACCTGGGCTTTCACTGAGGCCTTGTCCTCAGCCATCTGCTGCAAGAACAAAAGCCACTTCCGGTCAGACGCGGAAGGCTTCTCCCTCCCTTTAGCACCCGCACTCTCAACAGCCCCTACAGCCCCCACCCCACCTCAGCTCTGGGAGATGGCTGAGTGATCACAGCAACATCAAGCCACCGCCACCACCTGGCCACAACCACCTCGGTGTCTGGGTCAGCAGCTTGCCACCCTGACCCTCCTGCTAGACCCTTGAAATTAGTCCCCAGCCGTCCTCCCAAGCAAAGAGGGAACTTTGATAAGCAAAGACACTCTCAGCAGGCACAACACTCTATCTGCTAGAAGCAAGGCAAGGGCCAAAGACTTCTTTGGACTATATAGGGTATGGACGCCCCAGACGTGCCCCCTACACTCGTCATTCTACAGGAAGCCCTGCGACGGTGCCCAATGCACACAGAGGTAAAGCTCAAGTCCTCTCCGGGCATCCCCTCAGCCCTCCTCCACCCGGTCTCTCCTAGAGCCCTCCCTCCGTGCCGTCTAGGTTTGCAACTTGCACCTGGAGCCCTGTCAGCCGGCAGCCCCGCCCCCTCGCTGGCTGCTGGCTACCTGCTGGCATCTCTTGAGGTGCTCCACCTCACGCAGGGCCTGCTCCCTCTGCCTCTTCAGCTCCAGCTTCTCCCCGTTCAGCTTCTCCACCAGCTGCCGCGCCTCCTGGAACCTCTGCAGGAGGAACGCCTTCTCCTCTCTCTGGCTGGCCTGGAAATGCAGCAGCTCCTCACAGCGCTCTCGGAGCATCTGGTTACTCTGCCGGATGGCATCTGGCACCAAAGGAGACAGCAAGGAGCAAGGGGAACCCCAGGGCCCAAGGCCAGAGCCGCCCACCTCTATGAGGCCTGCTCCACACTTCACTAACACTGTGCCCCGAATGTCCCCGTAATATAGTACACACACCAGGTGAGGATGCGGAGAACCCTGAACCCTCATTCACACCCTTTCGAAGCAGTCTGGTCATGCCACAACCGCGCCCCATCGAGTCCCCTCCTAGGTACACACCCAGATGAACTGAAGAGAGGGTGCAGACACCTGTGCCCCAGTGATCACTAACGCACAATTTGCAATAGCCAAAAGGTTGGCCCCAACAAGCAGCCATGCTCGCATGATAGATAAGCCCTCATGGTGGAGTATGACTAGCTACCCTAGGGACAGAGCTGGAGACCGAATGCGGAATCCAACCTGTCAATCAGAAACAAACACAAGGGGGCGGGGCTTTCAAAAGTTCCTGGGAAACTTTCACTTTCTTTTTTGGTTTAATTTTCTATTAAACTCTTTATTGTGAATTAAAGGAAGGTTTTCAGAGCAGATCATCAGATCATCAGTTTTACAGTCAACAACCTATTATTATCCCTTGACTTCCTTATTCCACAGAAGTGTTGAGGTCACCTTATTGTGAAACCCCACTTACATACAAAACCTAGAATGGGCAAGTTCGTAGAGACAGAGAGAGCGAGCGGGGAGCCACTGTTGAAGGCTGGGGGTCAGCACGTCCCTGCACAGCACTCTTCTAAACGGCGGAAACTTGCTAGGTAGATCGGACTCCATGAAAAGTGTGAACCGATCACACTTCTTCCTAAATGACTCGGGAACACCATATGTCCTGCCATAGAGAACTTATAGACTCGAAGTGACGGCCACCAGGGCTGGGCTGGTGACATGAACTCCCATGACCACTCCCATGACCACTGACTGATGATGTGCCACAAGAACTCCCATGTCCTCATATGTGTATTTGACAGTGGGGAAGAGCCATGGAGCAGGCGCAGGTCTTGGGAACCCAACCGAACAGGCGGGGGAACCAGCATGCAGTGGGGCCATCAAACAGCTACACAAAAACGGGAGGAGACAGCAGCTCCACGCCCCCACTCTGGTCAAGAAAACGCAACAGAACACTCTGCTGGCCCCAAAGTCAAACCTTCCAACGACGAGGGGTCTCCAAAAAGTTCATGGAAAATGTGTTCCGTAAACAAAACTACGTGTGGATTTCCAAAATATTTTGCAATTAAAATAAACTCCTACTAACTTGTTGTAACATGTGTGAACAGGATTTAGTTTAGGGAGAAGGAGAAGACATCAGTTTAAAATGAGTCCCTGTCAGAGCAACACGAATTCTGCTAAAATCGAAGCAAGAACAATTTATGGTGAAACTTGGATGCAAAAATGGCGAAATCACTGATGCTTCACAAAAAAATGATGGGCACAAAGCTCATAGGAAATGGGCGCTTTACAAATGGAGAACTCATTCTTGTCTAGGTGGAGCTGATGAAATGAAATACAGATGGGTAACATGCGATACTGTAGTGAATAACGGTTATCAAGATGGATTGTGAGTGTTGGAAATGCAAGGGTAGATGTTTTGTAGCAAGGAAGAGAGCGATTATTTCTCCCGTCTAAGAGTGGAGGTCTCTGGGACCACCAACGGATAAGAGCCAAGAACGGGACCCCACCCAGAGAACCGGGGATGCCTGAGATGGAGACAGAGATGATGACAAGGAGGGATGAAGCGGCTGGGGACTTTGGATCCAGAGAGGGAAAGGAACTGTGGGCCGAAGACTGAGGGGGGAGGGGGGAGCGTAGAGCACCGGCTTCTAGGATATGCCCTTTGGTCGGAAGACGAGGCATGGAGGGGATCGGAACCATCGCAATGTAACAATATACAATGGAATGAATATGGAACTGAGGTTCTCTCATGTAAACTATCATATAATTCACAATAAAACATAAAAAAATAGAAGGGACAAGACGATGCTGAAGGTGAAGTCCACATCAATTTTCAAGGGGAAGAATTAATCTTGTCCATGCCCTAACTGAAGAGGACAATTAACAGCAGCCAAGCAGCCAACGCCACAGACATCTCAACTGGTTCTAGTTACACACTTCTAACTAAAAAAGGAAAGTTGAGCAAACTTGGGGGCCGCTGGTCCGGGTAGCAGAGCTCTCAATGAACATTTTAAACAAGTGCAATCTAGATCCTGAAGGATTTCTCTACAGAATTGCAACAGGAGATGAAACGTGGCTTTGCCAGTCTGATCCTGAAGACAAAATAGAATCAAAACAATGGCTCCCAAGGGATGACAGCAGTCCAGTCAAAGCAAAGGTCAGGCCACTGTTTGGGGCTGCTCGAGGAATTTCGCTTGTTGACTTTTAGGGAGCCAAAGAATGACAACACCTGTTTATTCTGAGTGTGCTGAGAAAGTCAGCCAAAGCTTCAGGAGACAAACCCCCAGGAAAGAAAGCTTCAATGGCAATTATCAGGCGTCCTGTTCTGGTTCCGAACCGGTTTTCTTCAGTTCACACTGTAAAAACAGACTGCACTGACCTGGTTCACCTGCCAGTTCTTTCAAGATGGACTAAAAGGCTGCTGCTACCATCGCTCACAAAAGTGTCAGCAATTTGATGGAGCTTAGCGGCAAGGATGCGAATCGGGCTGCAAACCTCAAGGTCAGCAGTTCAAAACTCCCAGCCGCTCCGCGGGAGAAAGATGAGGCTTTCTGCTCCCGTAAAAATTTACAGCCCCGGAAACCCTGCACAGGGTCACTATGGGTCGGAACGGACTCCACAGCATATAACCACCTATCACCACCATGTTGAGAAAGAAAGGATTTACTATTATTATTGTTACTATGATCATTAAGGTCAGCGGTTCGAAACTACCAGCCGCTCCGCGGGAGAAAGATGAGGCTTTCTACTCCCGTAAGGATTTACACCCTCGGAAACCCTGTACAGGGTCGCTATGGGTCGGAACCGACTCGAAGGCACTTAACAACAACAACAACAAATGATCATTAATCTTTTATCACTGAATTCTATTTTTCACCAAGACTGTAAAGACTGCAAAGGGTCATTCGGCTCCTGAGGAGCGGCTGGTGGCTTTAAACTGCTGTCCGTTAGCAGCCCAACTTTCTGAAGACTCTTTCTGATCCCCTTCCCTACGTACGGCCATGTTCCAACCCGGAGGCTCCACGCCCAAGCATGTGCCTTGCCCACAGCTCTCCTGCGCACTCTGCCAGAATGCTGCCTGGCTGCCGAGGCTCAGCCCTCACACACTGCCTCTGCTTCTAGAAGCTTCTTAGTGAGACAAAAGACACTGTGAAGTGGCCAGTGGAGTCGCTGGCTGCGTTGCCATCTCCACTCTGGGCAGCCCCTAATCTTGACGGTCTCTGTTGCTCCACCTTTTCTGCACATTTCACATACATGGAGTCATACCTTCGCCCAGACGTCGTCGTGTCCTGTCCCCCGCCACTAAGGTCCTCCTTCCCTTCCCACCCCATCACAAGCATCTTAGGCCCCAACCCTTCAGTCTGACAGCCAGCTCTCATTAGATAGAGTCAATGCAGTCCACTGCTGCCCACAAGACACAGGCAGGCACCATGGCCTCTGGGGAAGCATGAGCAAAGGCACCCCACTGAGCAGCCAGGGTCTGTGCTTTCCTCTCCTACTCCCCAGCACGCTGGCCGGCCGGGGCAGGATGAAGCGGAAACCCATCTCTCAGAGCACACAGCCCGAGTTCCAGTGAGTGATAAACTACAGCTGCCACTTCAGCCAAGCCAGCCATCCCGACCTTGCACCCGCCTGGATCCTGCTCACCTCGGAGTTCCTGCTTCTCCTCCAGACAGCGCTGCAGGGTCTCAGGGACGCTCTGCTCCGAAGGCAGGTGGAGCATGGTGGGCTTGCCCAGAGAAGACTCGTCAGCCAGCACGTCCTGGTCCCCTGCTGGACCACCCGTGGGCTGCACCATCTCACAAAGCGGATTCTTCCGGAGATGCCTGTTCATCCAAGACGGCAGAGTCTGGAAGACAAAGGCCGCACACACTTCACCCCAGCCCCCTGAAGACTTCTCAACACCCAGGGATCTAAAACTGGAATATGATTTGACCCTAAAAAAGAACCAAAGGATTGATGTGTGTTATGACACTGATGAACCTTAACAACAGGCTGAGTGAAAGGAACCAATCACAGAGGACTACCACGGGCGGTGTCAGTCCCGTTACATGAATGTCCAGAATCGGCAGGTACAGAAACTCCCTAGCTGGCAGTTGGCAGCGACTGGGGGGCAGCAGGGAGGAATGAAATTGAGTGGTGGAGACGGGTGCATGACCTGGAACGCATTACAAGTCATGACATTGTGTACTTTGATAGGCTGACTTATGCAATATGTGAATTCGATTTTCAAAGCTATTGTCGATACTAGTCACAACAATAATGGCAGGGAGTGCGGAAGTATAAACTAAACAAGACTGTTGAAGTTGGGAGGTTGGTACACGGGATTTACCCCACTATTCTGTCTACTGTTGTACACCTTGGGAGCTTTCCATAATTAAATGCCCAAGGCACCATCGTTTGCCACCTGGATACGTACAATAACCTGCTAACAGGTCACCCTGCCCCTACCCTTCTCTCCCCCACCCCCACTACAGTCGGTTCTTCCCACCACAGGCAGAACAATCCATCTAAGATGTACTTCCGAGTCCGTCCCTTCTCCCCTCAGAACCCGCCTCGGTGTAAAAGCCAAAGGCTCTGTCCCATCTGGTCCCCACTCCTTCCTTCCCTCGCTCACTTTGCCCCAGCTACACCGGTCTCCTTAGGAGCTGTTGTTGTTGTTGTTGTTAGGTGCCATCTAGTTGGTACCGACTCATAGCGACCCTATGCACAGCAGAACGAAACACTGCCCGGTTGGCCTTAGTAGCTAGTTCCCCGAAAAAGTCGGGCACCATGCATTCCTCCTCAGGTGGTAGAAATGGAGTGAGATCGGATAGATAGTAATTGTTTTTGCAAAGTGCCCAAACTGAAGCATAGGAAGTAAGACATTGATTGACTTGCTATATTTGAGGTCTTTCTTTCTGAAAGATTTAATGGCTTCAAATGCATTCAAGCCGGATGGACAGAAAATGTCTCCGAGCGTCCTTACGCTAGTCAGAGCCTGCGGCCGAGGAGAGGATCCAGCACCGTCCCGCTAGCCTGGCTCTCGAATCAGCCCCCTCGGCCGGTGCATTAGAAGCGCGCGGCTGGAACCAGCCAGGGCCCAAAAGGAGGGGCAGCGGGGACGCTCAGGGAGTCTCGGCGAGGCGGCGAAGCGCCTGCCGATGGTACACGGTCTTCGGGAAAGAGAACCATACCTGTCAACAGAGACGGTCCGACGTGGAAAAGGCGAGAGCAGCGGGCCTCCAACGCGCCCAGATCCCCAGCGCTCCAAGAAAGCCCCACTTTACAGTCGCCCTTCCCTTCTCCAGCAGTCGAAACCTGCACTTCCGGCTTCCTGTGTCGTAGCCGTGGGATCCGGAAGCGAATCAGGCAAGCCCCCGACCTGGCATCCACAGAGGATGGCGAGAGCTACACTAGCAACTCAAGGCCGCAGCCTGCACAGAGGAAAGCCCGAGGCCGCCATGCTCGGTCGGTCTCACGGGCCACTCGCCAAGTGACAAGTTCCTCCTCGGGGCGCCGCACCCACCACACCCCTTCGGCTCCCGGGGCGTCCGGCGGCGTCCCGTCCCTGCCTGGGGAGGAGCCAAGATGAAGCTGACCAATAAGGGTGGTTTGCGGACGCCGGGTCCTATGAGAGGGCGGGGCTCCAGAGATTGCGAAGCTGAGGGGAGGGGGGGAAACTATCCAGAGGAGGCGTGGCCACGCTGCCCAGCGGAAGTCGGCGCTCCGCGAGGGCTCATGGTCGCCTGGGGTCGGCGGGAAAGCCGAGACACTAGGGCGGGGCGGGGCCCGGCAAGAGATGGGGACTCGGGTGAACGCCGTGGAAATGAACTCCAGAGAGACAGCTGGTGATGCGGAGCGACGGCGACGAGGACAGACAGCGGCCCGTGACCCGGCAGCCAGCGCTGGTGCCTGAGGGGCGGGGCTGGGAGAGGCGTGGAGGACCACCACGAGGGCTGGGGATGCGCGCGCACGTGTCCTGGGTCGGCCTGTCTCGTTTCTGTCTCTCTCTTCCTCTTTCTCCCTACTCTCTCGCTGCCCCGCCCCAGCCCGCCCCATGCGGGAGGGGTCGATTAAAGCCCCGCCCCATGAGTCTCGCCTGAGGCCCATCGGCTCAGCCGAGGCCCCCGCCCCCGCTGGTTAAATGGGCTGGCGGGGCGCAGCCCCCGGAAACGGCCACACAGTCCGGGGCTGCGAGTGCTGCAGGGAACTGTGAGGTGGCGCAGGTAAGTGAGTCAGGCAAGCCAGAAGAGAGGTGAGGCTGCCCGCCAGCACCAGCTACCCTGTGGATGGGCGGGACGGAGTGGAGAGGGGCTTAACAGAACAAGGTGTTCCCTGCAGCCCCCATCGGGCCGCTGAGGACACGGAGTCCCTTTGAGGGATGGTGACTTGCCCAGGGTCACGCTGGTTAGCAGCGATAGAGCTAGAGCAGAGTGTAACAGGTTCCCCCGCTTGTTGCTGATTTCCCACTGGAGTGGCCATGGTGTGATGCTCAGAAGGTACTCCCTGAACTAAGACAGCCGTTTCTAAACCGGCCTGGCCAGCCCTGGGCGCCTTCACGGAGAGTGGTTTCAGTCAACAGAGTCCCCCGACCAGATGCTTTTCCAGTAATGGACTTGTCAAGGAACCTTTTGTTCCCCCCAGAGAAAACCATGGCTGAGCAGGTGGCCCTGAGCCGGACCCAGGTGTGCGGAATCCTCCGGGAAGAGCTGTACCAGGGCGATGCCTTCCACCAGTCTGATACCCACATTTTCATCATCATGGGCGCCTCGGTGAGTTCTTCCCCAGCCCCCACATCACAAAAACCAGCCTTACTGGGACATTGCGCCTGACCTTTCCCTGCTGGTGGGGGCCACAGAGGCACTACAAGGCTTCTCTCTTTCTACGTGTGACACCTGCTCGGCACCGCATTCCTTGCTCTCAGCATTTCTAAATCCACACTCAGCCCTGGGACTTGGATCCAGTGGGAGGACTTTCTCCGCCACCTCGGCTAGCCGCAGCCTCCTCCTCCCCCCCCCTCCTGAGAAAGCTGAGCCGGACCGGGAGGATCTCTTTCAGACTTGCTGGTGACTTTTAAGTGTTATCCAGTAAATTAGTCCCAGAGGCAAGATCTGAGACCCAATCATCACCTATTGCTAACAACACCTCTGGTCCCTGGAGACAAACAGTCTGCCTTGCTTTTCACATCATCGCTTTACCCCAGTCTCTAAGACCTGATGGGGAACTGACATTTTGCTTTGCAAAGACTTAATGAAAAGGCAGAGAGGTACAACCAGTTGACCCAAACCTGCTGGCCTTCATGTGACCATATTTGCCATAAACCGCACTGGTATTGTCTTAGGCTAGAGTTGGCGAGGGTGGGCAGTACTGCTCCTCCTCATTGGTGCTGGAGGCTTTTGGCACCTTTGTGTTTCTGATCAGAGGTTGGGAAAGAGAGCCCCCAAAAAACAAAACGAGGCACTTGAGTCCAGAGCAAGAACAAGACCAAGCTCTGGGCTCTGCCTCCCACGTCCCCCTCACCCCCAGGCAAAGCAGCAGGTTCCCTCAAGGATCTAGAACTTCATACCTGACTGGGGGGGGGTGGGACGGGGAGAGAACTGGTATAGTTCTCAGAGCATCCAAGCCCCCTCACCCCCAGGGAAAGCAGCAGGTCCCCTCAAGGATCTAGCACTTCACACCTGACTGGAGGGGGGTAGGTAACTGGTATAATTCTCAGAGCATCCAAGCCGGCTGGCCCACAGACGGATCCCACTGGGGTGGGTGGATTGTTGGATGCCACCCCAGAGGGTTTCCTAGGCTGTGATTTTTCTAGAAGCAGATTGCCACCTCGGTCTCCCTCATAGCCTCTGGGTAGATTTGAACTGCTAACCTTTCCATTAGCAGCCAGTGCTTAAGCACTACACCACCCGACAGCAAGGTTCCCCTTTGCTCTCCTCTGCTCTGTGAGAATTCCTCCTAAGAGCCTGTGTGGGGTTTCAGCAGAGTGGGTGGGTCCTCCCTTCTAGAGCACTTCAGAAGAACCCCCACCGTGTACTGCTCTGGGGAACCACACATTCTCTGCTGCAGCCCCAGCCCCTGCCACTGCCATCAAGGCCCTGTGCTCTCTGGGAGACTAGGTTGAGTTCAGGAGAAACCAGTGGGGCTGGGAGTGGGCCCAGGGCCTGGAGAGCCCTGGTCAAGGGAGACCCTTGGTGATAAAGCGAAGAGCAGAGGCAAAGCCCTGAGTCAGTGCAAGCTGGCCATGGCCTAGAAGCCGGCAGGAGGCCTGTGGCTGGCAGGCCCAGAGCCTAGGCAGGTTGGGTGCGCGTGATCCCACACCTTCACCCCCACTTCACTTCCTTTCTGGGGCAGCCTGGCTATGTGGACACTTCCCCACAGTTACCATTACTGTCACCCTGCTGTGTGGCCACTTCCCCTTCCCCACCCCCACGCAGGAAGGGAGTGGGAGGGCACACGATGCCATAGGCAGAGATCCCAGTCCAGAAAGCTCTGGGATGAAAGAACCTAGTTTCTCCTTAGGGACCATGAAAGGCCCTGTCTTTCCCCATCTGATTGAACCTCCTCGCGGCTGGCTAGTTGAGCTGCTTGCACACAGAGGGCTTGAGAGGGAGAGCATGACTGGGAATCTGTGAGAGGAAGTCACCTCGCTGGGCCTCAGTTTCCCTGTGGGAAGGAAGCATGAGGACTTTGGGCAAGGAGGACTGAGCGGCCGGGCTCCACCCCTTCCCCTTGGGCAGATAAGGTTCTTGCTGTGTCACCATTACATTACGTTGGCACTGCCCCAAAGGCCTGTGATTCATGGCCCCCAGGGTGGAGGAGGGAGGCCCCTTTGTCAGGGTGTCAGGCCCTGTTGACTCCCAGCTTCCTCCCAGATGGCCAGCAGCCAGGCCTGAGGCTCTGCCCCTGCATGCCAGCCACTTCCTGGCCCCTGTGACCCCCAAGGGGAGAGGGTCACAGCCTCCCCCCCCCCAAAAAAAAAAAAAACAACAACCAAGAAAGATGCCTCCAGGAAGCAGCAAACACCTCGGCGGGCAGTTCTGACATGGCTGGAGACCTTGATCGGACCTTTCCCACTGTAGTTCTGAGGGGAAATGAGGGCCCCCCCGCAACTCTTCTCACAACTTGAAGCCCTTTCATGACCCCAGCTGACCACGTTGAGAAAGATTCGATCGACTCAGCAAGCTGAGTGGTTTCCTAACATGTTCCTTTCCTCCCAAAGAGGCCGATGAGGGGCAGTCGGGGCGGGGGGGGGAACGACACTACCTGCCTTGCCTCCTGCCCCCACTGCTCTAGCTCCTACCTCTCCTTTCTCTCAGTGACTTGGAGACAAGCTGACGGTTGGAGGGGCTGAGCTGAAACTAGGCAAGCAGGTTTTATCTGTAGTTAATCCCGAAGGGTGTGGGTCAACTGTGACCTAGTGAAAAGGGACACACAGCCGTCAGTGCTCCCCGCCTTCAGGAATTGGATCATAAGCAAATGTGACTTGGTATCAGGAAGGTTTAGCAGATTGTGTTAGTAGGCATTGTCGCTTTCAAAGCGGCTGTTTACCTAGGCTGGGCTCGCTATGTACAAGGTCACCATAGTAAGTTGCCTTGCAAGTGTCATGCTAAAAGGCATACCAGGTAAGTTTACCTTCTGGTGAGCCTCAGTGCCAGCCCAGGTGATGGCAGATCTTGCCTTTTTGCGGGCTTGCGTAAGCCACTGTAGGTCAGACCGGCTAGACCACATCTATGAAAGCGTCGCTGGAGTTACACTTTCGGCATTGGAATCCGAGTTCGGCTAACCTTTGTGGGGGCCGATCCCACACTCCTAATTACACGGTTGCCGGCTCCCTGTTTTGTTGGTCTTCAGGAGACTGACAGCTGGAAATCCCCTCCCCAGATGGCACGGAAATGGCTTGCATGTATTCCTGGGTTCTCTTGAGTTTGGACTTTGGTAAATGACACAGTTTTGCATTCCATTTTGCAGCTGGTGGTTGCTCATGGGTTAATTCCCTTTTCTCCTGTTTAAGGGGTAAGAAAGAGCAGGGCCCAGGACTGCAGCTTGAGGGGATCTCAGACTGAGCTCACATCCCAGAAGTCCCTCTACTCCGAAGGGCAGAGTCATTTTGCCTGTTCGGCAACTTTGTACAGCTTGGCTCTTACAACCTGGAGTCCACTGCACCTGACGTCTCTGCCTCCACGGCCTATTGGGCCGCCTCATCCACGTGGAGTTTGCTTTTTTCCAATTTCAGGCAACTTTCCCCCCACACACAGCAGCACAGTGTCCCGAGTGGGTGAGGAGGGTAGTTCCGCCAGTTCTTCCACCCACTCCCAGCCCAACTCGGTCTGCTTTTCCTGGCAGTTCCCTGAGGTCCACACCGAAACGCACAAGTCTGTCCGGTCTTGTCTACTCTCAATTTCTAACGTGATTGCACTGGGGAAATGCACCGGGTGCTCCTTCTCAGGTGGTCAGCCCCTACCCCTCGGCTAAGCAGCATCTCGTGTCTGTTTACCGTTCCTGACTTTCATCAGCTGTAAGTCCTTGAGGAGTGCCCCGTCACACAGCTTCTCTGGCCAGGGGTCTCCACTGCATGGTTGCTTTGGGATTTGCCTTTCCCCAGATGACTGGCAGAAAATGCCATCAGTCAGCCCCGGGCTGCCTCCACCCTATAGCCTGCCTTCTGCCCAGTCTGACACCAGCTGATCCTCCCAGGGCACGGTGCTCCCTGCAGTGGTCACACTCTCGGCCTATAAGGAGTGACTCAGGGACCCTGGCTCCATGTGGCTACTGTTTGTAGGTGCCTGCTGTCAGGCTTCTTGTGAAACCATCAAGTCACTTCCAACTCATAACAGCCCTGTATAGGGTTTCTGAGGCTCTGGGTTTTCAGTCATTGCAGTAATGTGTGTCTCCCACAGAGTGGCTATTGGACTCAAACCGCCAACCTTGTGGTCTGTAGTTCAGTGCTGATTACGAGTTTCTACTGTGAGTGGATCTGTAGTTTACGAGATACTCTTCTGTAGCTGTTGACTTTAATAAGGTTGAAGCCCTGTACAGGAGCAGCTGGTGGCCTAGAACTGCTGACCCTACAGAGCCACCCCAGGAGGAGATTGCTGAGCACTGTTTCCCTTTCATCTCCTTTACTGGTGACTTGAATGGTGATTGCTGGCTTTCAACATTGAGCCGCTGACTACAGGGCTCGTTTTGCTTCTGCATGGCTTTGGGCATGTGTGTCTGGGCCATCCAGGTCGTGGCTCTTTGACACTCATCTAGTCTTTGTCCCTGTCAGTCCCTTGCGCCTTCTTGAGTCCATCTTGGTCAGTTGGCTTTGTCTCGGAACTTGAGCATTTCGCTGAAGTAACCTGATGTGCCTTAAGGTTGTTCTGTGACTCATGCCTGCGGCTTTGCCCCCTCTTCGAACCCTAACTTTGGGCTTTGTTAACCGTTTTTGTTTTCCATTTTATGTTTTCTTTGGTTTCTAACGTAAACACTGATCATTCCTTTCTTGGGCCCACCGTAACCAAGTCCTACCAGCTGGGTGGCTTATAGCCACAGACACCCGACTCTCTCCCAGTTCTGGGTGGAGACGGCCTGTGAAATGCTCGCTCTCAGGACTCCAACCGCAGCCTCCGTGGTCATGTGACCTCTTCCCTGTGTGTCTTCTCATCGGCACCCAGGCCTGGCTGTCCTCCCCTTAAAGCTTGCCATGGGCATCGGTTCTGGGTGGACACCGCACTCGCGTTTTGACCCCCACTCCCCTGGTGTCAGTTTGCACTGCAAGGCTGGTAGGTGAAGCTCACCATCTGCTCCTTGGAAACCCTCTACAGGGTCACTATGGGTCGGCGGCACTGGTTTTACCACTTGTCTACCTTAACCCACCATTGATTTGCTTAGAAGTGGTTGGTTTGCTCTTGTTTGCGCTTTCTTTCATTTTCCAGGGTTGTGGTCCCAAAAGGGCTCTGTCTACTCAAGAACATTCCAGTTGGGTGAGGGACACAGTTTGCATAATGGCCCAGCAGAGCCTCCCGTGTGTAGCATCCTGGGGTCAGGGTTAGAAGCCAATGTCATCTCTCATTGGAAGGCTCCTCTGGGGACAAGATGGAGATATGAGTGACCACTTGACGTCCCTGGGCAAGGGCCCAGATCTGGGCATCAGGGCCAGAGACAAGGGACATAGACTTCCCTTGTCCGGTCACCTCTGACTAAGCCTGTTCACTTTGCCACAGGGCGACTTGGCAAAGAAGAAGATCTACCCAACCATCTGGTAAGCACCCCTCCCACCCCCGCTGCCCCCACAGCTTCCCTCAGGGACCAGCCTGGCCATGCCAGCCTCACATGGCAGCACTCTGTCCATAGGTGGCTCTTCCGAGATGGCCTCCTACCCGAAGACACCTTCATTGTGGGCTATGCCCGGTCTCACCTCACAGTGGCCGACATCCGCAAGCAGAGTGAGCCTTTCTTCAAAGTGAGTGCCCCCTCCCTTGGCTTTACCTGCCCCAGGTGGGAGTCAGGCCCTGGCTACAGGACCCCAAGGGGCCTTTCTGCGTCTCTGCCCACTCTCCCTCTGCTGCTACTGCTTCAGTGGCCCCTGGCCAAAGCCCTCTCCAGTCTGGAAGCCCACTAGGAGCCCCCAGAAGCATCTTCCCTGAATAACCCACACAAGTGGTGGAATGAGGGGAGCCCCCACCACATGCAAAGCAGGAAAGGGATGAGTCTGTGTGTGTGTCTCACCCAGGCCACCCCAGAGGAGAAGGCCAAGCTGGACGAGTTCTTTGCCCGCAACTCCTATGTGGCTGGTCAGTACGACCAGCCGGCCTCGTATGAGCGCCTCAACAGTCACATGAACGCCCTGCACCACGGCTCCCAGGCCAATCGTCTCTTCTACCTGGCCCTGCCCCCCACTGTCTACGAGGCTGTCACCAAGAACATCAGGGAGACCTGCATGAGCCCCACGTAAGCCTGTCCCCAGCCCTCCCTTCCCACCATTGTCTAGTCCTCGTTGGCAGCCATCCCCCCCACGGGCCACCAGGTGGCAGTGTTGCTCCACGAAAAATCTCACTGCTGTCTGCTCTGGGCCCAAAGTGCTGCCATCTCGCTTTCAGTCGGCCCTCGTTTAGTGCCCCACATCTGCTCCTTAAGCCCAGTCCTCTGTGCCCTTACCAGCCTCGAGGCCCCAGCGTCAAATGTAGGACGGGAAAGAGAGCAGGGTCTTGATGGGGGGGGGGGCCGGAGTCTCATGAGCACTTCCCGGCAGTGGCTGGAGCCGCATCATCGTGGAGAAACCCTTTGGTAAGGACCTGCAGAGCTCCGACCGTCTGTCCAACCATATCGCCTCCTTGTTCCGTGAGGACCAGATCTACCGCATCGACCACTACCTGGGCAAGGAGATGGTCCAGAACCTCATGGTTCTGAGGTGCGTTTGCAGCGGGAGCCCCAGGAGCAGCCACCGTTGGGGTCCTTGGGATCCCTCGGAAGTATGGGCCCTGTTTCTCCCCACTCCCCCCCACAGGTTTGCCAACAGGATCTTTGGCCCCATCTGGAACCGGGACAACATCGCGTGTGTGATCCTCACCTTCAAGGAACCCTTTGGCACCGAGGGCCGGGGCGGCTATTTTGATGAGTTTGGAATCATCCGGTGAGAGCTTTCTTTCTGGGAGGTCAGTGTAGGCTACGGGGACTGGATGATGGGAAGTATCCCTACATGAGCGAGCCTTCCACTCCCCAGGGTCTCTGTGGTCAGGAGTCGCTCACTGTCCTGCCTGCCTGTCGGGAGCTGAGACGGACGCGTCCCTCGGTCCATCCCCACCTGGAAACAGGGCCTGATGGGAGCTCCCTATTCTCTCCCTGCCAGGGATGTGATGCAGAACCATCTCCTGCAGATGCTGTGTCTGGTGGCCATGGAGAAGCCTGCCTCCACCGACTCAGACGACGTCCGAGATGAGAAGGTGGAAATGCTGCCCTCTTTCTGGCCTTAGCTTCCCCCTTGGGAGAAGCATGGGTGTGGGAGGTGGTCCTGAAGGGAAAGCGCTTTGTGGCTGGGACTTGGTGTGCGGCTGCCCCAGGCGGGAGAACGGCACAAGCAGGGCCCTTCTCTGTGGCGTGCTCCCAGGTCAAGGTCTTGAAGTGCATCTCGGGAGTGAAGAGCGATGACGTGGTCCTGGGCCAGTACGTGGGCAACCCCAGCGGGGAGGGTGAAGCGACAAAGGGCTATCTGGATGACCCCACAGTGCCTCATGGCTCCACCACGGCAACCTTCGCTGCTGTCGTCCTTTATGTCGAGAACGAGCGGTGGGACGGTAAGTGCGAGCAGCCACAGGGGAGGACCGAGGTCTCCTACACACACATACACGTTCTCACTGGTCCGCGCGACCCAAGCCGGGCCTAAGGCCTCACCGCTCCTGACCCCCAGGCGTCCCCTTCATCCTGCGCTGCGGCAAGGCCCTGAATGAGCGCAAGGCGGAGGTGCGGCTGCAGTTCCGCGACGTGGCCGGCGACATCTTCCACCAGCAGTGCAAGCGGAACGAGCTGGTGATCCGCGTGCAACCCAATGAGGCCGTGTACACCAAGATGATGACCAAGAAACCTGGCATGTTCTTCAACCCGGAGGAGTCCGAGCTCGACCTGACCTACGGCAACAGATACAAGGTGCTTTACTGCAGGGACGGACTGGGCGGATGGGGCGTGGGGATTCCAGAAGACGGTAGGAAGGAAGTACCACCAAGCCCCTTTTGTCCCCTCTTGTCTGGAAGAACGTGAAGCTCCCTGATGCCTATGAGCGTCTCATCCTGGATGTCTTCTGTGGGAGCCAGATGCACTTTGTACGCAGGTGAGAGGCACTCCCCCTTCATGGAGCCCCCCCCACACACCTCCCCACCGCCCCCCTACCCTCACCGCAGACTGTACCTTCCCAGTGACGAGCTGCGCGAGGCCTGGCGGATCTTCACACCGCTCCTGCACAGGATCGAGCGCGAAAAGGCCCAGCCTGTCCCCTATGTTTACGGCAGGTGGGAACCAGGATAGGGCTGGGGGGCTGCAGGGGGACGGGGACTGGGGGGCTCTAGCCTGTCTCACCCTGGTGCTGTTCCCCAGCCGAGGTCCTGTGGAGGCAGACGAGCTGATGAAGAGAGTGGGCTTCCAGTATGAAGGCACCTACAAGTGGGTGAACCCCCACAAGCTCTGAATGGCTGCCCCACCAGACCTGCTCTCTGCCCCCAGCTCAGTAGGACTTTGGGACCACAGGCCTCAGCTCCACATTCCCTCCCCTCAGGCTCAGGCCCTGAGCCCCAGAACATTCCAGAATTCAAGCTGTGTGCAATGACCTTCCTTACTGTGTGGGCCCCGTCATGTGTCCTGTGACCTGGGACAGGAGTAGGAGTGTGGGCGTGGCTGAGGGGCTGTGTACACTCCTCCCCCTGAGAACTCAGAAACCAGGGAACCCTGTGCGTGTGGCTGCACTTCCCAGGGCGCGGGTCCACACCAGCCTCACTAACTGGACATTCCGGATCAGCAGTTGGCAGGCTCTCCATGCTGCCCAGCACTCCTTTGTCGCTGGTCTCCTGGGTGCCCCTCTGCCGCCAGCTCTTTCCAGCTCCTCTACGGGGAAAGCAGCTGGACCCTTCCCCTTGACTCCTGCCATTAAAGCTACAAGTTCCCCCGCTGTGACCTGTGTCTCCCTGTTTCTCAGCCCATTGTGCCCCTCACCAAGTCCCCATTGGCTCAGCCCCGTAGTCACTTCTCTCTCCCTCCTGGAGTTCCCACGGAAGACGGAACTGAGGAGGGAGCAGGTTTTCAGGCCTGGGCGGAGTGGAAGGGAGCGAGCAAGGGATCAGTCCAGCCCAGGCTACGCTGGGCCCCATTCAAAGGCAAAGGCTGGAGTTGGGAGCTAGGACAAGTCCTCCTGGCTGCAGCCTGCCAACCACCACACTCCGGGAGACTTCAAACCACAAGAGTGATGTCCTCCCAGCTCTGGAGGCCAGAGTCTGAAGACATACTATCAGTAGGGTCTTTCTCGCTCCCAAGGCTGGAGAAGAGGAGCCTGCCTTGGCTCTGGTGACCCCCTCCCCATGTCCCCACCCTACTGCAGCATGACCTCAACAGATTCCATTTGCAAAAACACAGTTTTCAAATAAGGTCTCATTCTGAGATTCAGGAGGGACACTGCCCAGAACAGGCTTTCCTGAGCACTGGGCTAAGCGCTTGGGGGTTGGGGGGCAGCAGGGAACACACATAGGCAGGGGTCCCTGCATCCCTGGGCCTGACTTCTATCTAGTAGGTGAGGCAGATACAAGACAATAAACAGCCAAGTTGAAAGGAAGACAGGGAAGGTCCTGCTCACCCAGCAAAGACCCAGCTCTCGGTGAGAGCAGCCTTCTGTCAGGGAGAAACATAGAAAGCAAACCAAGCACAGAACTGGCCCCTCATATGGGAAGCCATGTGGCCAGAACCACACTTCTCCCTGTTCCCACTAGTGACACGTCGCAGCTGTGCTAGGAGCGAGGTCATCTGCAAGGACCAGGCTGAAGAGGGAAGAAAGGAAGTGCGGGCCAAGAAACGGGCCTTTAAAGAGGGCCTTCCCTCACCTGGGATCTGACTGACAGATAGGATAGGGACCCATGACCTGAAGGAGGAGCAGCAGCAGCAAAGGGAACCCATAAGCTAGTAGAGCTGTGAGGAGCACCCATGCCTTCTCCCTGCTTACCACCAGAGGGAGACTTTGAGACATTGGGAGGCGCTCCCATGCCTTCTCCCTGCTCACCACCAGAGGGAGACACTGGACTTCCGTCTTGTTAAGTGCAGTTGAGTTGGTTTCTAAGCAGTCCTCCCAGGGCCCAGTCTGACCCAAGGTTGCCTGCTGGCTCGGTTACGAGGTGGGTGTTCCTGGAAGCTTAGAAAACATTCCCCCCAAAGAGTAGCAGCTGGTTCCCAGGGTGGAAGAGGGACACCACCGCCACACAGGCCCCTATGCACAGGAGAGAAAGGGGTGGGAAGACATCACCCATTGAATCCCCTCAGCAGGTCCGCTCCTGGTGCCTACAGTAAGGGCCAGAAGAGGGCAGTCATCTACTAGCACCTGGGTGTCGCCAGCCACACGATATAATAGTCACCTGCTGTCATCTCAGGACAGACACATAGGGACAGTGGACTACCCCCCCACACACACACCGCCATCACACCCACCCTCTGGGTCTTGGGTACTGGGCAGGACTCCAGGCCAAGTTGGGGCTTGGGGCTCACGGAGTGAGGAGGACATTTTGTCCAGACCACCATGGCCCCGGATCAGGGACACAGGCTAGTCTCAGACCTCAGTGGAAACGGGCCCCCAGCCCCAGCCAGGGGACATCTCAGACCCAGGAGCAACCCTAACTGCTCCATTGGAGTGTGGAGGAGGTGGGGGGGGGGATGTGGAAGCTGGAACAAGGGCAGATGGGTCACTTCTGCACCCCAAGAAGCAGGCAGCAGCTACCATACCTAGAGAGACCCTTTCTTAATGCCCCCTTCTTGACTGACGTGTGCAGTAGTGCTCTCTGAAGAGAGGGGGCGGGCAGACAGCTCGCCATGCAAATGCATTTTCCTCTGCTGTGTGTCTGTCTCTTCTTCCCTAGCTCCAGTACGACCTCAAACGAACTGAGCAGCTCCCAAGACCTAATTCTTAACAAGGTGACATTACCAGGCACTGGAGTTAGGACTTAAGTGTCAGCCTATAGCAGCCCCTCAGCAGACTTAATGTCCCCATCTTTTTTTTTCTTTCTTTCTTTTTTTAAATAATGTCCCCATCTTGCTCCTGCTGACTAACCACCATGAGAAATCCACTCCATTCCACTCCTGGGATCCGGTGTCACAAAGACCCTTTGTGCTGGATGGAGGACAAGTGTGGGATCCTGCCCAACACAGAATCTTCCAGAAAGAGGGCACAACATCCATGCTTGCTTCTCCTGTGACCAGAAGATATAGTTTCTTCCGGTCCCTAAACCCCAGGGATTAATTCAACAGCTCCACCCCCATGAACAAGGAACCTGCATCCCTCTCTCTTCTCAGCCCTGGAACATAGATAGGTGGGGGAGCCTGCTACTTCCCTTCACTAACCAGGGGGGAGCCCAGCTGTGTGGGTCCCCACACAGATCTGTCCATGCCAACTTCTTCCCCCCATGGCCTCTGCCAGCTTTCTTGGGCATGACAGGAAAAGATACGGTCCTTCTGGGGGCTTGAAGTGGTGCACCCCAGCTTGCTTTTCTTCCTCAGGTGGAGGGGCTGGGCCTCCATGCCAGCACTGTCTATAAAGTAAGTACAAGACCTTCCTGCTGAAGAGAAAACACCATGATTTTCCTTGGCCCCTCACCCCCAAGAGGGTGGCAAGTGCCGCTGGCAAGGGTGTGAAGAAATGGAGAAGTCACTTGCAAATGGAAGGTAAAATGCTCTGGAAAGCAGCATGGTGATTCCTCAAAAAGTTCCACACAATCCTGGAGAAGCAAAGCGTTAAGGACACAGTAGGAGGCGTCTCGCATCCTGCTCTCAAAGCCTGCTCCACAGCCACGGTAGTCAAAACAGCCTGGGACTGAAAATTTTTTGCAATGACATATAAGACAAGGAATTAATATGTAAAATATATAGAAAAGCTACAAGAAAAAGACAAGTAAACCCAATTAAAACATGGGCACAGGACATGAACAGACACTTCACTAAGGAAGACATTCGAGCAGCCAACAAACATATGAAGAAAGTTCACAATCACTAGCCATTGTTGTTGTTGTTTCGGTGCCATCGAGTCGGTACTGACCCATAGCGATCTTATGCCCAGCAGAACGAAACACTGCCCGATCCTGGGGCCAACCTCACTACTGTTGCCACGCTTGAGTCCATCCATGCTGCCACTTGGCCAATCCATCTCGTTGGGGGTCTTCCTCTTTTTCTCTGACCCTCCCTCCACCTTACCAAACATGATATCCTTCTCCAGTGACTGGTCCTTCCTGACAATATGTCCGAAGTAGGAGACACGAAGTTTAGCCAACAGAGAGATGCAAATCAAAACAACAATGAGATGGCTCACACCAGCAATAACCGGGAAGTTCAAAGAAGAAGAGGACAAGAAATGCTGGTGAGGGTGTGGAGAGACTGGGACCCTCCTACATTGCTGCTGAGAATGCAAAATGGTCCAAACACTCGGGAAAACAGTATGGCGCTTCCTCACAAAGTTGGAAAGAGAAATACCTTATGACCCAGCCAATTCCTCTACTTGGGGGGGCGCCTCAAGTCCGTTCAACTCATAGCAACTCTGTATGGGGTTTCCAAGGCTAGAAATCTTATTTGGGGTTTGGTTTTGCTATCTTTATTTTGCTCACAAGGATGCACTTTGGGTAGGGCTTGGTGGGAACAGTTATTTTCTGCTCTCAGTGCCATGAGCTGGCGTGAACCTGACCCTTTGGATAGCTTAGCTCAGCAGGTTCTCCATGAGGCCGGGCCACCCTTATAACATGGTGGCTGGCTTTCAAGAGTGGGAGTCCATCTCCAAAGCTCATGTTCTCCTCTATGAAGGTTTGACGAGTGAAGCCCAAGACCCAAACTCACCACCATCGAGCCAACTCCAATTCCTAGTGACCCCGTGGAGGGTTTCCTCAACTCTCTCTCCCCCATTTACTGTGTTTTGGCCCTTTGTTAAGGATTGAATGAGTGTAGGGGGTAGATTTACTTCTGGGTTTTCTCCACACAGTACCTGGTGGGTTAGTACCTGGGGGGCAGGGCTGGCGCAGTTGATCCTAGAACCACCCTTCCAAAGGCAGAGAAGGGACTGGCCCTCAGAAGTTTGAGCTGGTCAGCAAGGCCACCAGGTCCCAGGCAGAAGCAGGCTGTTCGAATGAAAACTGCCCCTGAGAGAGACAACACAGCTGCCCCAGTCAGGCCCAGGAGCTGACCTGGCTTCTTCTTGCCTGCATTGTCCAGGCTGTAAATCTTTATGGAAGCAGAAAGCCTTATCTTTCTCCAGTGGAATGCCTGATAGATCTGAACTATATCCTCAAGAAATACAAGCCACAACACGACTAGATCTATGCACACTGATGTTTATCACAGCTCTATTCACAATAGCAAAAAGATGGGAGATAGCCTAAGTGTCCATCAGTGGGAGAATGGATCAACAAACTTTGGTACAAACACACAATGGAATGCTACGCTACCTTGAAGAATAAT